AACTCTAGATTGTGAGAAATATTTTTTTATACAGTCAGCTATTAAACATCTCAAAGAATACCCAGCTTCCAATCGCATGTATATCTTCAGTGGCAACGGCCAATTAAAGGTTTGTTCTCAAACAGATTTCTTCAGTTCCCACAGCACTAAATCAGTGGAGCTGCTGTCTGGATCCTTTATGGACCTTCAGAACACCTTGATGTCTTTTGTTATTTTTTAGTTATCTTTACTGCTGTCCTTGGACTGATTGTTCCCTCAGAGCAGATGCTTTTCCATGGCAGTACTCCCAGATGTCTGGCTCAGTGATTTACTAACTGTTCTGTTGTAAAGTCAACACTGTAACTTTAAAGAAGCAGAAATATGTAAAATTGACCTTTTTGAGCGTTACACAATGTTATACTGGTATTTCCTCATCAAAAACAAACCTGGAGTGTAGCCTTGATTTATTCTCCCAGGGCAACCATTCAGCTGTGCAAAACACCTGGGTGGACCATCCATTTTCTTACACCCTTGTCCCTAATGGGGACAAGTGGGGCACCTGGAGACAGGCACCAAGGGTACAAATAAAAACTTGATTTGTCCTTCTGAAACTCTCAGAATAAACCAAACACACATTCAAAGAGATGCTGTGGTCTTCCTTCCTTTCTCCCAGATTGGTGGAGCAGTGGACGGATGACGGTTCTCTGTTGTCCCCAGAACAACAGGCTCCTCTGGCACCAGACTCCATCCTGACTCCATCCTACAGACACAAAGAGACAACTTCAGGGCAAACACTGTCATACGAGACCGACCCAAACTAATAAAAAATGAATTTCAACAACATCAAATGAAATATTAAAATGCTATGCTCTTTTAGAGAAGCAGCCAACGACACACATTCAGTGGGAGTAAACCAGGCTTTTTAACTGTCGAAGTAGAGGCATGAATTATAGAAGAAGAAACATTTCTTCTGCTTTTACTTTAAGCAACTGCTACGCATAGATAAAGTAGTAGTTTTATGTGTTGATACAGTTAAACAAGTGGAATATTGCCATGTTGATTTCAATTTTCAGTGTTTCTTTCAGAAGAAAACAATTCTGTGATATATTGGTTCAGTGAAGTGACTCGGTATTCTTTGTTCCTGGGTTTGCAAAGTATTCAGTAAAACCACGCGAAGCTGGGCTAAATTTAGTCATTAAGGCACTGAACCACTCTCTTCATACAGAAAACACAAGGTACCTACTGAACACCTGGGAACAGGAAGTTCAGATGTTCAATCCAACAGCAGCAATCAGCAAAAACCTGGTGGAACTGAAGACCTGCGTAGCTCACTGTGTAGCTCACTGTGTAGCTCACTGTAGCTCACTGTGTAGCTCACTGTAGCTCACTGTGTAGCTCACTGTGTAGCTCACTGTAGCTCTCTGTAGCTCACTGTGTAGCTCACTGTAGCTCACTGTGTAGCTCACTGTGTAGCTCACTGTGTAGCTCACTGTAGCTCACTGTGTAGCTCACTATAGCTCACTGTAGCTCACTGTAGTTCACTGTAGCTCACTGTAGCTCACTGTAGCTCACTTTGTAGCTCACTGTGTAGCTCACTGTGTAGCTCACTGTAGCTCACTGTAGCTCACTGTGTAGCTCACTGTGTAGTTCACTGTAGCTCACTGTAGCTCACTGTGTAGCTCACTGTGTAGCTCACTGTAGCTCACTGTGTAGCTCACTGTGTAGCTCACTGTAGCTCACTGTGTAGCTCACTGTGTAGCTCACTGTAGCTCACTGTAGCTCACTGTGTAGCTCACTGTGTAGCTCACTGTGTAGCTCACTGTGTAGCTCACTGTAGCTCACTGTGTAGCTCACTGTGTAGCTCACTATAGCTCACTGTGTAGCTCACTATAGCTCACTGTGTAGCTCACTATAGCTCACTATAGCTCACTGTAGCTCACTGTAGCTCACTGTAGCTCACTGTAGCTCACTGTGTAGCTCACTGTGTAGCTCACTGTAGCTCACTGTGTAGCTCACTGTGTAGCTCACTATAGCTCACTGTGTAGCTCACTGTGTAGCTCACAAAAGCTCACTGTGTAGCTCACTGTGTAGCTCACTGTAGCTCACTGTGTAGCTCACTGTGTAGCTCACTATAGCTCACTATGTAGCTCACTGTGTAGCTCACTATAGCTCACTGTGTAGCTCACTGTGTAGCTCACAAAAGCTCACTGTGTAGCTCACTGTGTAGCTCACTGTGTAGCTCACTATAGCTCACTGTGTAGCTCACTGTGTAGCTCACTGTAGCTCACTGTGTAGCTCACTATAGCTCACTGTGTAGCTCACTGTAGCTCACTGTGTAGCTCACTGTGTAGCTCACTGTGTAGCTCACTGTGTAGCTCACTGTGTAGCTCACTGTGTAGCTCACTATGTAGCTCACTGTAGCTCATTGTAGCTCAGCAAGTGCTATAATGAATGAAACACTTGTAAAAAAATTAAAAGTTTCTAAAGGGTTGATAGAGGAGCCATGATGTGATGACTTCCTGGAGGCGAAGTTTCAGAAAGAGCAGGAGTTTTTAAAGAGACAAAGGCCTAATTCCAATGTGTTCATTTACACAGTCAAAATTCTTTTAAGCTATGTATTCTACAGTATTTGTATTAACAACTGGAGCTACCATTAATCACTTTGTTGTGCTATAACACTACTTGTTGTGTTATAACATACATAACACTGCCTCTATAAATGTCAAAATGGACGCTTTCCAAATTAAATATCATTTTGTGCAGATTGAACAGCAAGCAGTATTAAGGACTTTACATAGAAATCAAGCACTTTCAAAGCCTTTAAGAAATAGAAGAAGTGGTAATTTGTTTGAAGGATTTCAAGTACAAGTTTATACAAGGAGAATGTATAAACTTGTACAAAACTCAGGACTCATTGATTTCTTCAAGAAGAAAAAGGACAAGTGAACTCAAGAACCTTTGACCTTCTAATTCATATCCAACCAAAGCAGCCTGTGATTCATAGCATCATCGTCTACACTACAGTTACCATGGCTCTCCTCTCATGATGGCAGGCACAACAGCTTGTGAGTCTGTCAGAAGAAAAACATGGAGTCAAGCTATTTCTCATTGTGAAAAAGATCATTAAAGAAGGAAGAGTGTTGGAGTACAGAAGAGGAACAGGAAGGCTGCTTTCTCCAGAGATCAGAACTAGAAATAACTTTCTGTTTCTCTGCAGAATAAGAGAACAAGTTTTTTATTTTGCTCCTGGAAGTCTGAGGAGGGAGGGAAACATTGTGTCGATGTCCTGAGGGCACAGACCAGCAGGTTATTCTCAGATGCTGTGGGTGCGGTCAGCATGTGTGATTAAAAGTATTAAAACATTTCCACCAGGACTCACTGCCGTGCTCAGATTACGAGCCACCGCCGCCTCCCTCCTGCATATCTCATCTTCTAATGACAAAGAGAGAGACAGCCTGGTCCTTACAGGATTGGTGCAGAGCTCATTGGAAGCTCATGTGGAAGAGCACAATATGTGTGGATGACTGAAGCGAAAGGGCACAGTCTGGACTCATTGTGGAACCTGTTGTGTTCCTCAGCAGAAGCCTTCTCTCTCCATGGAATCAAAGGTCATCGGTCTGTCAGTGGGAGTGACTTCATGTGGTGATTTATTTCTCACTGTACAGTAAACAGGATGCACTGCTGATGGCAGCATTTACCATTGGTTGTTGGCGTCAGAGAGCAAAGGTCCCTGCCTGTTATCACCGTACAGAGGATCACCATTAACCATTTAACTCCTCACATCAAACACCAGTGTCTCACCAGAATGAGGCCATTGGCTTAAAAAGCATTACTTTAGTATGTAATAATATAAATCTAAATAAAAGTTTTATGAGCATTAAAACCTCATAAACGGTTCCGATGGGACCTCATATATAAATGTACTTTAGCTGGCAGTACATTTATTTGTTTCTTGATATTATTTTATCTCAAAGTGACATTATGGTGAAGAACTTTTTTGTACACTCAGTCTAGGTCAAAATCTAGTCTGTTCTGACCTTTAAGGTTTGTGCCAAAAGAAAATGAAAATATTATGTAGAGAGACTTAAGACACAAATCATCATTTTAATCATGAAGAAAACATTTACATGTTAGCATACTAAAAAACATTTGCTAAATCAAACATGCAAGATTAGTACATCAAACTTTTCGATTGCTTTTCAGAAAGCAATTATAGTATTTTTTGTCAAACTGATTCATATTCAGGCACATGTTCAATTTGAAAATATTAAAATGTATTTTACCCACAAGGAGAATATATAAAAATAAAAAGAAGTTATTTCTCATTTTCAAAGAAGTAAAAAAAATAGGTAAACTAAAAGTAAAGCTTAAAAAATCATCTTTGCATGAGTTTTCACACAACATATATAGAAATTCAATAAATTCACAAAATTGATTTTTTTAATTACCAATTAGTTACAGCAGGATTTTTCTTCTAACAAATAATGAATTGCAAACATTATCAGTTGAGATGAATAAACCCCATCTTAAGAAGTGACAGTCTCCATGGTTGGGACAGCACCCAGACAAACTGCACTATTAACAAAACAACAAACCAGATGACAAAGTATCAGCATAGAGACAAATGATCTCTGATCAGTGAACAAATAACCCAATAGTGAAGTCAAACTGCAATGATGGACCAGATAGACTGAAACTGAAACACATTTTAACCACTGGACTTCAATTTACTTCTGTCTATCTCAGGTTGATGAACTCAGCTGAGTCTCCATCATTATATAACCCAACTCCAGCATGTAGCGGCTGGGTGAAGGTGGTCTGGACTCTGTGGAGGAGAGTCATGGTTTCAGAGACACTGTAGAAAGAGAGAATACCTGCTGTGTGATCCAGGTACACTCCTATTATGGAGGAATCTGGACCTGACACACAGATTTTATCACCATTATGATAAAATATGTACATTTGATCATGACAAAATAAAGACCAGGATTTGTCATTGTTTCCAAAATCACTTTCATCTCCTGATCTGCTGATGTTCTTGTATGAAACTGCTAAATCAACTTGTCCTTCCCACTCCACCTCCCAGTAACAACGTCCAGTCAGACGCTGTTTACTGAGGACCTGCTGATCACTGGCAAATCTTGAATGATCAAAATAAAACTGTTCACTTTCCATTAAAGTTGCTTTTCTTTTCCCGTCAGATAAAAACAGATAACTGTGTGCTGTCTTTGAATCCAGAGTGATTTTTTAAAAATATTTTAAAAAGTCATTTCTGGTCTTTGGTTTTGGTTCTGACAGTAGAACATCCACCTGATAGATCGGCAGTGAAATGTTTATCCACGTGTTTCTCTGGACGTCCTGTAGTTTCTCTCTGAGCTCTGATACAGCTGCTGTCACGTCCTCAAAGTGTCTCAGAGGACGGACATTGATGTTAGACCTACTGAGTTCTGGCAGTGAGGGGTAGTTGAGGAGAAACTGGTTGTGATCCTCTGTGTGTGAGAGCTGCTCCAGCTCAGCGTCTTTCCTCTTCAGCTCACTGATCTCCTTCTCCAGCTTCTCCTGAAGATCTTTGACTCGACTCACTTCAGTTTCCTGCTGGGATCTGATCTGCTGCTTCACTTCAGAGCTTCTTTTCTGGAGGAGACGGATCAGCTCAGTAAAGATCTTCTCAGTGTCCTCCACTGTTTTATCAGCAGATACATTGATGGCCTTCAACTCCTGTTGAAGCAGCTTCACATCTTTGTCTCTGTCCTGGATTGTCTGCTGAATTTCTTGTCGACTCACCTGAAGCTTCTTCTGCTTCTCAGCTCTTTCTGCTGCAGCTGGGACTGTTTCATGGCCTTTATGTTCCTCCATAGTGCAGAGATAACAGATACACTGCTGATCAGTACGACAGAAGATCTTCATCACCTCATGATGACGAGAGCAGATGTTCTGCTGAAGATTCTCAGACGGATCCACCAGATTGTGTTTCTTTAAAACAGGAACATCGTAGTGAGGTTGGAGATGATTCTCACAGTAAGAAACCAGACAAACCAGACAGGACTTTGTAGCTTTCATCTTCCTCCCAGTGCAGAAATCACAGGCCACATCTCCAGGTCCAGCATAGCAATGGTCAGCTGGAGAATCTTGGAGTCTGCTTTTCTTCAGGTCCTCCACTAACTCTGCTAACAGGGTGTTTTTCTTCAAGACAGGCCTCTGACTGAAGGTCTCTCTACATTGAGGGCAGCTGTAGGTTCCTTTCTGGTTCTCTCCATCCCAAAAGTCTTTAATACAGTTCATACAGTAGCTGTGTCCACAGGCTGTAGTCACTGGATCCTTCAGTAGATCCAAACAGATGGAACAAGAGAATCTTTCTCGGTCCATCTGAACTCCTGCTTGCGCCATTTGTCCTCTCAGTGAGAATGAGTGTGAGTTTCACTTCCTCATAAATGAAACTGAACTCTGCTCTAAATGCAGGGAGGGAGGCCTGCAGCAACAGGCCTCCCTCCACTGATCTGAAGGGAGGGAACAAAGAACTGTGACGACGAGGAGCCACAGCAGTAGGTGGAGTTACCAGACTGGTGATTTCAGGAAGAGCTTTGACGTGTGTGTGTGTGTGTGTGTGTGTGTGTGTGTGTTTGTGTGTGCATTTGTGTGTGTTTTCTGTTTTCACAATGCAATAATTTCATAAAATAATTGTAATTCTGGATTAGATAAGGATGCCTCTTTAAACAACACTTTTATTCAGGTTGGCTGTAATAAAAATCAAACTTAAAATTAAATTGGGCACTTTTGATTTTATCTAAAATAATTAAATAAAAAAATCTAGAATTTTGTGGAGCTGAGTTTGTATTCAAAACTCCACCCCAGTGCAATTCTGGAAGCTGGTTCCCATTGCAGACTGGATTCCACCAGAATGTAGGAAAGATATTTCACATAGTAAAAATCTGAAAAATTATTTTGTTTTGGTCATAAAGACACCATGGATTTTACGGCAAGGCTTGTGTTTTCTCAGTATTGGCCATTAGTAGTTTATCTACAAATATAAACTACTAATGGCCAAACTAAACTACAAATAACTTTCTGAAGAAAGTTATTTGGACTCCCTGCAGTCCTGGCAGTGGAATGGTCCAACTGAGGTATGAGAAATGTTTGGATGAGCGTTTGAGCATTGCTTCAAGACGGGAGCTTTTTCCTGAAAGAGAGCTGCTCTATGGAGCTGTCTAAAACACCAAAATATGACACCAAGTTTGCTTACATAAGAAGATTGTAAAATTGTGAATCTCATTCAAATGGTTGGATTTTAAAGTGAGCTCCACAGCTCTTTACTGGTGTAGGTAGTTTGATTTGATTTAATCTATAAAACCTCATATGAAATTTATGTGGGTTTATTTCAAATGCAATGAGCTCAAGAGATGAAACAGAAAGGAGAAAAGAAAGGTAGAAAGCTGGAGGAAAGATTTGAAAAGAAATGAGAGGAAGAAAGGAGAGGAAGAAGCAAAGAGAGAAACAAGTCAACGACGTTCAAGTCTGCACATTTAAACCTGTGTGTATCATGTAGCACATCTAGTTTGATATTTATCTATACATCAAGTGAAACATCATGGAGAAAGGAAATCTGTTGGGTTTCACCTTTGCACTCAGACAACAATTCTGAGTTACACACTGCTGGACACGACTGTCATGTAGTGGTGAAGTAGAGATGGTGAGGCAGACGCTGGAGACCCAGGTAGGTGAATGGTGAGTAATTTAATGAAAATAATCCACAAAAACACAGTCAACAGAGTCCGCGGCCAGGCAGCACGGCTGAGCGGAAGCCAGGGCTCAACGCCGGTAGCAACTGGTCATACAGGCGGCTAAACACACAACGGCAGACAGAGGCAAAAGTACGACAACGACAAACTGACAAGGACCCGACGAGGAACAAAGGACACAGGAGGGACTAAATACACTGAGGGTAATCAAGGGAATAAGACACACCTGTGAACAATCAAGGGGAGGACAGGACAACGAGGAGAACTCAGGACACAGAAACAGAATAAAACACAGAAAAACACTGAACCTGACAACGACAGGTTTAAAACAAATTGTAATACATAGTAAATCAGCCAATCACATTGGAGCATCACAATTCACTATAATCTTCTAGTAAATATGTATTGAATGACAAACTCCAAAGTGTTTTATCATTTATTTAATTTGACTTTAAAGTCATTCAGTTTGTGACTCTTTCTCTTTCTTTGAAGGTCAATTGACTTGAATGTTCCATAGTTAAATACTTTTTCCTCACATGTTTCAATATTATTGAGAACTAGTGAAACTTCTGATAGTGGCTCGAGATAGTTCAAATTATGCTGACCTTCCTTGATTTGGCTTCAAGTTTACAGGTTTTTATAGAAAACAACTCCAAACTGAAAATATGTGCAGAGCTCCATATTTCTGCCGCACCGCCATAAATATTTAAGACCCTGCTTCTTGTAAATAAGCACGCAAACCCCCAATCAAAGGTGGGGATGTGCTGATCTTAGTTTCACTGCTTGTTTTTTTTTTTGCTTATAGAAATTGCCCAGTTCTTGCAAAGCCACAGCCCAGTTTCAGTTTCTAAGAGTGTAATTTCTGCTCAGTCCAATACATTTGTAACTGTTAGCTTAATTTGTAGTAGAATACAATTTTGAAATATATTTATGTTTCTCCTTAAGTTTCATGTAATCAGAAGTCTTCCTTTTAGTGATGATTATGTGGAATGCGACGTTAAAATGAGAGAACAATTGTTTTAATGGCCAGTATATTGAGAACCATTTTGCATTTATTGATTATATTATATTATATTATATTATATTATATTATATTATATTATATTATATTATATTATATTATATTATATTATATTATATTATATTATATTATGTCCTTATTGATGTGAAACTTGCCCGTTGCAGCATTTGTCGTATGTTGACTAAGTTCATAAGTTAACTTCCTGTTTGAGACCAGGACCATTTGTAACAATAAGAAATTAACATTTTGAAGTGTTTATCCTGAATTTAAAAGGACTTGCAACTCTAATTGAGATCAAACAGTTTGAGACACAACTAGAATCGAGAGTTAATAACATCTTTATGGTCTCCAACAAGTTTAACTACACAATCATATCAAATCTTTAAACAGACATAAAGTCAGTTCTTGCAATTTTATTTATTTACTTTATCACCAACTAAATGCATTTCTTATATAAAACAAGTTTTTTACCCCAATAAGCTTCAAAGGTGCCAGTAAACATGTCTACATCTCTGCATAACCAATTACTTATTAATGATCTCCGCAAACAACAACTAAAAACATAAATGAACTAGGAAAGTAAAACAGCCTTAGCTTTAGATATAACTGGCTCAAGACTTATTAACCAATCAGAGGAGCAACATCTGTTGGAGGGGTTTAAGTTAACTACATAATCATGTGTGATTATGGCCCCCTTTCCACCTGGCACCTCTGAAGAGAAAAAGATATTTGAACTTTCCATGACACATTCCCCAAGCCAATTTCATAAGGAAACCAATTACTTTTTAACACCCAAACCTTCTTAAAATAATTTCAGTGCTGGATCAGACATCAGTTGAAGGCAGTAGGATGGGAGAAATGTGCTGGATGAACAAACCCTTTACATTTCCAAAGCCTTTAAATCTGTGGGGAAAACAATCTGAATGTGATGAAGCTGAACTTAATGTGAAAAAAGAAAAAAACACACAGCATTGATTTAATGTCACAGGTTGTTGCTAACCTACTGTAAAAATGACAGAACTGTACATTTAAATCATTTTTTACACTTACAGCTAAAAAACAGCGGGTGTTTCCAGAGAGCGACCAAAGTCCTGCTCTTACTGCTGAGAATGGACAAAAAAATTACAATATATTTCAAAATGTATGTGCTTTTCTTAAGAAAATTTCTGGGTTTGAACAGTTGAACATTTCACAGAAAAATACACCTCAGAAATTTCTGTTTCAAAAGATTCAAGTTGAAAATTTTAGACTTCTGAAACAAAGTTCCATATAGATTATGTTTCAGATTTTTTTTAATGTGTGAAAAATTTAGAAAATTGTGTCATTTTTGAGGTATTTGAGAGATTGTCAGAGATTTTCTAGAAAGAAACGAATAAATCTCTGAGTTTCAAATCTCTAAAATGTTCAAATTCTAAGTTTATTTCTGAAAAATCTTTGTATTTAACAACTCATATTATTATTTTTTTGGTCTGGCAAAATGTTTGCTCAAAACTCAGAAATGCAAAAAATTTTTCTTGCATATTTTCAACTTATCAAAGTCAGAAATTTCTGAGTTTGACCAAAACTTTCTGAGATTAATTTCAAAATTATTGAGGTGTTTGGCCCACATTTGGTCTTTTTTCTATCTACAGTGTCCCTAGAACTCTGTAGAGTACAGATCTGAACCAGTGGACAGCACCGTGGTGAAAGTCCGTCTCATCTGATCCGAACGCGTCGCAGTAGTCGGCCCTGAAAGCCCCCCTATAGGGAACCGGTACAACACGCTGATGGATTGATGAAACTCCCCAGATATTATCTGAATCCCCCCTGCTTTATTGGTCTTCCTGAGCCGGTATCAGGTAGAGAATGGGGACGTTTCTGTTAGCTTATCCTCAGAGCTGCTTTGCATTGCAGTCCTATCTGTCAAAGCGCGCCTCGTTTCCTGGGCTTTCAGAAAATCGGCCAGGTGCTCCTGAGGGAGCCTGCTTCCACAAATCTTTGAATTAATAACTTCACCCTGAGCACAATGTGTCCATTTCCCCCCCACCACTATTCTTTTGGTGTGCGATTTATGGCTCTGATAGAGAAGGCGCTGCCCCAGAGGAGAGGAAATGGAGGCAGGGATTTGATAATCTCGCCTCTGGTGCCGCTCGTGTGGGAGGCAGCCTGCTTGATTATGCCTGAGATGCACCTGCTCTTAACCTCATTTCCCTCAACATCTGTTGGAGGGGTTTAAGTTAACTACATAATCATGTGTGATTATGGCCCCCTTTCCACCTGGCACCTCTGAAGAGAAAAAGATATAGTTCACGTGTGAATGATGTCGGCTTCTGAAACAAGGATTCCTACAGTCACTGCAGACAATCTTTTGAGAGCTGGAACCTTCTCGTTGGGTTAAATAAAGCTCCATGTTGTTGCAGATGAAGTTCTCATGCATCAGTTTGTAAGTGAGATTCGAGTGGGTACTTCAAGTCTGCATCTGGTTGGTCCTTTGACCAGGGTCACCAGATCTGACTGACAGTTTCAGGCCAGAAGCAAAATAAAACCTTCCCAAGTCCACCTCATATCTTGGGACACACGGGACACATTTTGTGACCCACTCATCATCCACTGCATTCACAGACTTGTAAGAATTCACAACATTTTTAACGACTTCACTCTTTGAACTCAATGTGACGC